GTGGCAGCCGTGTAGATGGTGAGGGCATCCAGCTCATCATCATCACCAACATCATCATCGGCGTCACCTGGGCCTCCCCCACGTCCTCCACTTTTGCAACCAAAGCACTGCACGGAGTTCACAGCCGAAGGGTAAGACCCAGCAGTCGGAAGCAACAGATCGTAGTGGGAACCTGAGTACCAAAGGCAAAAGGCATGCTTGCCGCTCCCATGTTTGGTTGGCAACTGGTCCGCCGCCACCGGAATGACAGTGATCGTGAGATCGAAGGCCAAGCAGGCCGCTTCGATTTCAAGGCAACCCAGAAACTGGCCATCACCCTTCATCTCCTCCAAATAGGCATCGAACCCGGTGTAAGTCGCAGGCTTATCGCTACAGTCCCGCCCATCCCACCACGCCGCAAAAGAATCCTTCTTTTCCCGCATGTAGTTGTGCAGCTCAGCGCGCACGAGTCGCGCCGGTCGGCGCTTGCCATCATTCTTTGCCCAGCTCAAACCTGCCCCAATGCAATGCGCAAGGCAGTTCCCATCTTTTGGTTGCTCTTTGAGCTGGGTGCCCTGAGGCACCTCTCTCACCTCCTGTGCCCGCCTTTTGCCCTCGGGCTGGGCCTTGCCATCAGCACCTTCCTCGAGTGCACCGCGAGTGGCACCCGAAGTGGTGCTAAAGCGCTCCTTCACAAACTGCTGGGTGCGCTCCTGGCGCAAAGGCTTGCGCCCAGGCTGCTGCCGCGCGCTCGTAGCAGGAAGTACATGCAACTCTATCTCATCCTGGCCTTCCTTGATGGGAATGAAGCAGAAGTCTTCCTTAGCAGTGGCGCGAAAGAACCAAGTGCACTGCCCTCGGCGCAACATGCGCGAGTTCAGCGAAAGCTCCTTGTAGCCAGCCTCCTCAAGCACCTCAGTGATGGAGTCAGTGCCCCAATGCTTAGGCGCGCCCATGAGCCGCCATGCTCTGGCCTGATTCTCCCTCGCAACAACTTCACGGGTACCCAGCTGCCGGCGCCCAATGACAAGGCCATGCGACGGCTTGGAGGCGACGGCCCTCTTGAAGTAATCACCGGGCTCCTCGGCCTCCTCTTTTTCGATCCACTTGACGCCATAGTTGGGCCCCGTGGGGTCCTTGCCAATTGGCTCAACGAAAATCCCATCCTGACCAGATCTGGCCAGCAGTGCACTAAGGCTCGCCGAGCGCGCGCGCACCAGACCCACAATCGTCTCTCCAAGGCGCTGTTCCTCTGCAGCACCCCAGGCGTCCATGATCCCCAACTTGCTCGTGACAAAAGCTCTGAAGCCCTTCTTGGCCGCAGTCCACTCCGAGCGCGGGCAAAAGTCCCGCGCAACAATGACTCTCACAACAACGGAGGCCTCCATCTTGATGGTCTTCTCGGCCTTCTTGCCCTTCAAGGTCGGTAGGGCAACCGCTCCATGTGGCACCTGGAGGCCGATAACAGGCCGCATGGTAACAACACCTCCTTGCCAGAAAGGGGCCTTCTGCTTGCCCTCAGGGTCCGGATAAACAATCAGGAATGAAGACTTAAGCCCAGCACCACGAATCATTGCCTGCGCAACCGAGGCCTGAGTTGCATCACAAGCCTCCACCACCACGCTCTCTCCTTCAGCACTGTAGTCACTGAGGTCCTCAAAGGAGACTAGCTTGCCAATCCAATCATCGGCTCGCAACCCACCCTTACCCTGCACTGGGGGCACAGCACGAGCAACGGGAGCAACTCCCTTGCCTTTGCCCTTGCCCTTTGGCTCCAGAGAAGCCTTGCCCTGGCCCTTGCCAGGGGATTGCAGCACCACAGGTCTAGCCTCCTGTGGGGGAGGATGCCCCACAGCGCCCTGACTATCAATGACCTGCTGTCTGCCTCGGCCGCGACGCCTCTTAGGCAGCTGCCATTCGTCCTCAATGCTGACCGTGCGTGCCGGTGGCTGTGCAGTTTCCCTGCTGCCTCCCGCAATGCCTTGCAAGGTCTGGTTGGCCGCCGCAACGGTAGCCTTAACATCCGCACCACCTCCGCTAGCAAGCTGCGTCACCAACTGAAGGATAAGCTGCAGCAAACTCATGAGCATCTTCATTTGGTCATCATTCACCGCCGGCCCGGGATTCGCGGCCTCTCCGATACGCTGCCCTGCAAAAGGCGACCGGCGCTCCTCTCGACAACGGATTGTCCGACGAGAGCCGCCTGGGCCAGGATTGGCAGCCTCCCCTACGCGTTGGCCCCGATAGCCCCAGGAGCAGCGCAGGTAGCAAACACCCCACAAGTGGAGAACTAGCTCATGAATGGCCGCACGTTGCGACCAGCGCCTCTGATTATTGCATGTGTCCCAGCTGCGCCGGCAAAGCGCCGGCCCCACAAAATTGGTCACAATGTCATGTGCATGCACCCGAAAAGCTGAAGTGCACACTATCTCCCGATGGCCTCCATGTGCGCCGTGGAAA